TCGACTCCGACTCCAGGTACCCAAAATTGTCTCCGACTCCTCGACTCCGACTCCACAGCCCTGGATAAATCTACACAAATATCACCTGCATGCACATTACTTCTTTTACAATAACCAGCTCCTGATACAAACTGTTAGCAGTGAATAAAACTATTGTGCATAGTGACTCTGTGTAAAAAGATAGCTGCCAGGAAAAAGCTCAAATACATGTATTTCAAGGATTCAAAGTTTTTATTGTCATGTACAGAGTACAATGCAATTCTTACTTGAATGCCTTCTTTCAGACTGGACGATTAAACAAATAAAGCTGCAAAACATTACAGTAACTAACAATAAATAAACCACTAACTTAGATGTACTGTTAGAGCATTTATGTAATTTATTTAAAACTTTATTTTACCAAAGGAAATGAACTGAAACCAGTTCTCACTGCTCTACGTGCTTTTCTGGAGAAATACCAGATTACGCATCGGAACTGCCAGGGATACAAACGTCATGCGTGTAACTAAAATCTTCAGCCAATAAGGGCAAAGTTGTGTCGTCACTGAGGCGGTTCCAGTTTGTGCTGCACGGTCTGTCTCAAGTCGTCTTGCTCTCGCGAGGATTTTGTACCATGTGACATGGTGACATGGTGACATGGTGACATGTGGTGACGTTTTGCAGCGCCGGACAAAAAAAATCTAACCGTGATTTGGCATTTTTTTGAATAAGTGTTTTTTGTTTGGTTTAGATTTCTACCTCAGAATTTTAAGAAGTTAAGAGACCAAGAATAGAGGAAGATGCTTGTTGTAGTCAGTTCTGTCCTGCTTTATCTTATGTTTGCCCTTTAACATATTTGCAATATTATAGTTTTGCACATTGTTACATTATCATATGGTTTTGTTCATTTGAGCTATGTTTCTTTGAATACTTGAAAACCAATAACCATCAATAATTTTAAGGGAATTTTGTATGTAAACAGTAAAATTTGTTGGAAAATAAGTATTTGTTTACTAATATTGTTTATTTCAATGTATTCATTCTATTTGTCAGAATAGGGTTATTTTTATTATTACATTATTACATGGAACGGCATTGTGAAACTAATATCGATAATTATCGATATCGGTCAAAACAGGAAAAAATATCGTTATAACTTTTGCCATATCACCCAGCTCTACACCAAAGATAAAATAATTTACTTCTTCTAGAGCAACTACATTGTGAAAAGCCTGCTCCATTCTGAAGTGCAAGACATGGACCTTAATCTCACCTGATGATAAATAGCCATATTCGTTTGCATGACATCTATTAATGGAAAAACACCCTATTCTACCCTCCAATGTAACTTTTTCCAGTTGTACAACAGTTTTATTAGGATGTGCAAAAACAATGGTGAATCGGATATTGACACCCTGAAGGGTTACATTCACTGAATTTGAGCAGGGCTTTCGGCCGGGGAGTGAACATGATCACCAACAGAAAAAGGCAACAGTGAATTAGATATCAATCCTAACATGAAAGCTAGGTCATATGTAGAAGTTTCAGGGTAAAACACTCATTCAGGCGATCTGGAAAATACAGCCACCATGAAAGCTATTGCAAATAAGCTTGGCTACACATTATCATCATTTTGCAGCAAAGTAAAAGGATGTGTTTGTGAGTACAGAGGCTTGCCACCGCAGGAGCTGCAGAACACTGTCAGACAGACAGGACTGCTGGGAAAGGCGGCTTTAAAAAAATGTGTATATTGATAAGGTGTGCCATGATATTGTAATTTACTGCATGATATTGCCACGGTTTGCCTGTAATTTTAATACAGCCGGTGGGGAAATTCATAACTGACAATAATTGAAAAAGGTTGCAAAATTGTACAGGAGAGAAAACTGACAGTTGCCTAATTTATAAGGTGATAAACACAGGTGGGAATAATGCTGAAGACATATTAAACGATTACATACATTCTTTAGGCTATTACGAGACATTACACTCACAGAGGCTTACAATACTAATCATACCCGACAGGCTAATATATGAATTCAAACTCGGAGAAAAGACCTCGAGGAAACAATGTTGGGGAAAAAAAACAAGATACCTACCCCAAACCGACATCAACTGAAACCTCACAGAGAATGTTTTCCGGTACACCTGCTATACGTCGACTGAGTCGTACCCATCCCCCTCCCAGATACAAACACACACTAATAACATAAATGATTCATCATATAGGACCCCGGTGACTCACTCTAACACAATGTCATTTTCCTAAATGAATATTCAGTAGATTTCCCCAAAAAATCAGCCAAATCTGAATGAGTTCATTTGATCAATCTATATATCTACATACAGCCAACATCATCTTAATTAGCCAAAATATTATGGTCTTAAACCTATTTTTTTTTTTTTTTGTAAATTATCCAAATCGAACTGGAAACATTTTTATTTAATCAAAGACAAATCCCCTTTAAATCGTTTTAAAATTCATTTACAAAATGACCAACTCCTTATTGGAATGGTAGTTACTTTACAAGAGGCCCGTGTTCGTAATTAATATAGGGCCTATAGCACATATGATATGCTGCATGTATAAAGACAGCTCAGATTTCTGGCAGGAATATTTTGATAATTAACTGTTTTCAGATTTAATTAGCCATCTCCTCAGACGTCTCATGGATATCTCTAGTAGCATTAAAGTCGTTTTAGGGGCACAATTAACTAACTAGCAAGATTCAAGAAACACAGTGAACATGTAATTTCTCCAACCGCTGTTCTGAAAACAATCTCCGATTTAGGTCCAACTAGAAAGGCAGCACCGCAGCATAATTTGAACAAAACATATAGAAAGGTACTCATTCAAGATAATAGCCTATGATTATATAAAGCAACAAATCAAGTTAGATAGATTATATAAATACGAAGCATTTACATCTTTTCCCAGGACTAAAACCAAACAAAAAAATTACATTTGCACGTTTGATCTCAAACTTAAGCAGCTCAAAAACTCGCATCACGATTTTTTTTTAAATAAAAGCGTTAACGCAGGCAGTAAAGTTGCATTTTAATTTTCCATGTAAAAAAATCAGCAGTCGACCCTTAAAGCCTAAAAAAGCTGTAATCAAATACACTACACGTCAGTGTCGATACAACTTAGTGTCAGGGCTCCGGTCCAAGTAATCATGGCTGCGACACAGTGGATCACCATGTTTTCCTTTACAAAACACCATTTGTACATAAACAACCATCCGACTATGACTACTATTGCAGACTTCTGAAAAAGAAAACTTTGAATATATTTGCTGCTTTAACAAACAACCCCAATTACAAAAATCAAAAGCATTTTTTCCCAGTACGTAGGCCTATTTCATTGTACAGTATCTCTCCAGCTCACCGCAGTAAGTGCCGATAAAACGGTCACGGGATAACCAGAAGCATATGGCGCGGCTCCAGAAAGCGCAGATGAATGAAACAGCATACTGTAGCACAATTTATGCGCTAATTAAACCCTTAACTCGCTAATCCTGTAAAGCACAATGGGCAGCCATATGCCACTTTAATCTTATTATACTGACAATATGGCAGTTTATTAACAAGCGCACGTTTTGTTTTCAGGTAGGCTGCCGATTCAACATGAACGCCGGACCCCGTACTAAGTAGAAGCTGTTGGGTAAAGTAAAAAGGAAACAATGTTACACCGAGTTGCTTGATATTTGGAAAACATTTAGATAATTCAATATAAATACATAAATACAAAAAATAAGATACTGGATCATTTTTGCCGCAGGAACAGAGATTCCTTCATATAGCTGAATTTTTGCCCAATACGAGCCTTCCTGGATTGTTACCGTGAGCCATCACCTCTGCCGTGTTAAACTCACCATTTGCGCCTTGCTGCTGCCGGAGTTGTCCACCATCCCTGCTTCCTACGCAAACCTTTTCCCTCTTCGCTGGCACTCTCTCAGTCGCAAACCACCACGCCGGAGCAGCGCTCATTCACGGGGTTTTCAGCCCTCCTTCTTCTCCCCGACGGAAAGGCGATGAAGCGCAAGGTTCCGTCGCCGAATTAAATACGCCACTCTATAATAATAATAATGCTTAAAAACTATCGACAGAAAAGAGCGACTTCATTTCTCGGAATGCTTCGCCATTGGGTTCCCTACCCTTTACTCGACTTTCCAGGCACTGAAGTGCACCCCCGCCCCAGCACGCATCTAAGGCCCGCCCCGTGGCAGCAACAAGTTCCCCAGCGGCACCGACAGCTTGAATAATTACGGACTTATGCAAATGAACGGAGATCACATGGCGAGCTACCGACAAACCCAGAGATTGATTGCGAGATATGCGCGACATGCATGGGTCTCATCATCATCATAATCGCAATTTAAATAGTATTTAGTATGGGGGTTCCGGTTAGGGGACCGCTACCGGTCCGCGGCCGGTATTCCAATGGGCCGCAGGACGCTGGTGGCTAATCTCTATATATTTTCGGTTTTCTACAACCCGTCACGTTCACGTGTCTATCTGAGAAAAAAACTGGAAACGATTAAACTTATGAAATAACCGATCGATCTGTACCGGTCCGCGGCTCAGATCCCCTACTTTAGGGTGCGCCTACACAGAGCACACACAAGTTAATAATTACCATTTGTGGTATTAAGTAGATAGTCAGAGTTATTTTCGTTCTTTCATTGCTAAATTCATTCAATAGCCTTCTTTTATATTAGTGCTTTGTAAAAATTTTGCCCGACTTTTGTTAGAACAGAAAACGTTCTCATTTAGTTTGTGGATTTTAAAGTGACAAATATTTTGAATTAGATTATATTTTAGTATAATACGTTTTATTTTATTGTGATCTTTATGTTCTTCCACCGATTATCACGTGTACAGCTTCAGGTGTGTACAATAGGATAGTTAATGTGGCATACACTGTTTTCTTTTATTATTGGTATTTCAAGAATAAAAGATGGCATCGCATTACAGGGGAAAAAACATCCTCTCACGAACAAGAAACGTCGAATTTATTTAATATCTGCACGATGTTTAGTCTGAAGAAGCCTGAGCATGAAGGCAGAATCGGAATGCTGCTCGTTGTTTAGAAAACATTTCACTTTAAAGATATATAGTATTGCTACTAAAGTTAGATAAACGTAAGGTACAATTGTATTATCAGTGATGGAGGTTTTAAATTAAGCTTTTAAATAATGAGTACTTGTCGAATATAGCCTACCGACTGGCTCTCAAAATTATACGAGTATTCGCGTATATAACAGGCTTATTTTTCCCAAAAATTATTTCCCGTAATCTTTGGGCCGTAAAGATGGGCCTAGCCTGCTCTCTGGCGGCCAATGCAGCTGACGCGTCTGCGATTTTGTTGGGAATTGGCATTAGCTCAGCGTGACACATTTAGATATTTAAATCCAACTTTGACGCGTAGACGTAAATGCTGTTGCCGTGATTGTCTTACCTTGCTTTGTACGTCCAGATGTTTCAGGATATAGGGGACAGGAGCATTGGGTAGACCTATTTCAAATTGCGAGATAATCTTGTCATAATGAAGAAGCTTCTCTAGATCGCTGAGCGTTACTTATTGTTAACTTGTTACTTATTGTGGACCTTGTTGAATTACACTAAACGCATGACGCAGTACCTCTACCTCATCACTACACTGTGGAGGTGACAGTCGGCATGGAAATCATGGGCCGGCAGGGTTGGGAGGGGATTACTCGACAGCAAGCATCACCATAGGCACAACACACTGAGTTAGGGGAGTATAGCTTCACATTTTGGCTAAGTTCAGATGTAAGGATAATGGAATATCAGTTGGAAGAAGGGGGAAAAAAGACAGTAATCTGTTCAACACCTGAAACCCTACAGGACCAGGTTTCAGAGCATTTAAGGAAGTGGTCCTACAATTTTAATCCCAGGAGGTAACCTTATGTCAAGAAGGAACTTCATACTGATTTAGTAGTCGGCAAGCAGTATTCACAGAAAAAGGGCACATCTGGTAACTTCGTAAAATGCTTTGTCGTAGAAAACATTTTGTCGTTCCTAATTACTGGCTAACAGATCTGCCTGTTACAAGATAATCTGCCATTTTTACAAGGTACATTGGAAAACCTTGGATTTTTGGATATCCAGCTCTTTGTGAGACACAGTTTTTGGGAGTCAGAATGCAGGGTATGTGAGAATTACTCAAGGGCTCAACAGTGATATGATTATTCTACCAGTCACAGGATTCAAACCAACACCCTTCTTGACATGGATAATTTAATTGGCTGAGCTACTCATTGCCCCCATATTTCAAGGAAAATAAATGATAGTGGTCCTACAACATAGTTGGACCAACTATATACATAAAGCACTTAACATTTACTGTTTAGCTAGTTTAATCAACAATCCTTTTGGTTGGAAAGTAAGCAAATAGACATGCTGTCCCTTCGATAAGAGATAAGGGGTCTGGTGTAACATATTTCAGAGATTACAAACAAGCAAGCAACCTAGAGTAAAACAAAGCTTGACGACTGTGTTCAGAATTACTGGCAATTAGGAAATTAAACCAGAAACACTCACAAAAACACACTGATCTATAGATTTTATGCACAGAAAATGTCATCTGCAGCTCGTAAGCAAACTCCAACCAGACACCAGTGTGCAACGCCCTCTTCACCCTCAAATAAAAGGCCAGCGAGACAAACATGTGGAAAACTTGAACATCAAGCCAAACTCACAGTTTCGAGCACACAGGAGATGCACATCAATCACAGACCAAACCTCTCGTATGGCCACATATACCAGCACATCCAGGGGATCCCCAGATGTTCTCAAGTCAACTGGGAGATATAATCCTTTCAGCACATCCTGGATCTGCTCTAGAGATGTCTGCAGATCTCCAACCACCTTGTTTCACCATTGATAGTAAACCCACATAAGCCTTTGGAGAAGCCCCATGTCTACCTCCCATACATAAAATCTTTCAGCCTTGTCCAATGACCTCACCACCATGGAGCTGCTCAGTGCCCTTTAACCGCAGTGAGAACCAAACCACCTGCCAATCTCATGTACTTAAACTCAGGTACTTAAACTCCTTCATCTGGAGCTGCCAAGTATAATATCTGTTGCTTCATGCTCATTAAAGTGCTCAAGCGTGTCCTGGAGATCCTGACTGGATAAGGGTAAAAGCATGAAAATAGCAGAGATGTCAGCTCCACTCCACCACAGCAGACACCATTCCAACAACAGCTGGTCCTACATATCCTGCCCATTAAAATTACAAAGCGCGGAAAGAAAAAGCTTCAGTGACAGAGGGCAACACCTTCTGTAAAGGACTTTTATGCCAAGTATGCAGACATAACCCTTAAAAACAGGGACCTCCACCACCTGTATGCATGAAGCCTCACAAACATGATTCTGGAGAAACTACAAACACAAATATCCTTTAAAGATAAACCGTCCTTTATTAGGGCTCCATAATTATTTATACACATTTGGACAGATTTCATGTCACAGGAAGATCAGGAAGCTTGGCTGAGGCTTGAAGTGCAGTGGGACCAGCGGTTCTTCTGAAGACCTGATGGGACATTGAGAGCAAAGAATTACAAGACGCATCTCCAAACCTTCATGGAATGTTCACAAATAAATTAGCACAAACGAATTACCGGTAAATAAACATCAGCAGAACTCACTATGCAAATACCCTAAAATGAATGCAAAGAGAGACAGGATTAGACCTTGCAATTCAAGCACTATTTAAAACACATTTTTAGCCACCATGGTAAAACGCACAATTCCTGAGGACTTTTGATATTACAGACTTTCAGCTGCAAGCCAGCAGCCGTGTGGTACTGTACCTTAGTGTTGCACAGGATACTGGTACTGAAAAGGTACTGCAGCACATTTTTGAAAGCTGTTCGGCATTACATTTTTAGTACCTGTACCAATTACACTATTACATACATCGGTAACGCTATATTCTCAAGCGAATCCAACTGTTTGAATATAGTTTAGCACATTTGATTGATCTGGTCTAAGCGTTCTGCATAAAAAAGTGAAGCTATTAAAAAGTCAGCTAGTTAAATACATAGTTCAAGTCAGTGATTTACACTAGTAATCGTATAATAATAAAGCAACAGCTCATACTATAAAGAGACAGGCTATGTTGACGTCATCTAACTAGCACCTGTACCTACAGATTATCAGCCTACGCTGTTTTAAGCAGTTAGACAATCAAGCACAATACACTGTGCGGGAAGTTTTTTTTTAAAAAAAAAAAACCCATTTATGGAGCAGATGAATTGGAACATAGCTGAAGAAACTGCTACAAACATTCTAATATTCTATATTATACGTTAGCTATTAATATCTGAAGTGGAGATTAATAGTGATGAGTTTCATAATGGCAGAAATACAGTTTACAGTCTTGCGTGCCAGCATGTTTATTTTTCTTTTCTTCAGCGCAGTGATATGAATCAGTGATGTGACATAAGAGCACAACTTAACAATCAATATTTGACTTTTTCTCTGTTATAGTTGCTGCGCTGGTATCGAGACACCTAAAGTGATATGGAGGTAATTTTGGCATTGTGACAACACTACTGCACCCACAGACATAAATTACAGGGGGCTGGGGGGGGTTTGTAGCTCCCACAATAATCAAAACTGGCTAGTACAACCCCCCCAATAATTATGTCACTGCCTAAATGAGTGAATATCTCAACCTGCCCAATGTTCAAACCAAAGTTATGCCCTTGACTGTACCTACACGCTGATATTACGCCCTGTCAATGCCAAGTTCCTCTGGCGTTGGGATGCCCAGCTCCTCCAGTGTGGGCTTCAGCTCCTGAATCACATAGGGGTAGATCTCTTTGTGAGGACCAGCTTTTTCCTGCAAGAGAGGGTCAGGAATAAGCTCTGAGAATTTTCTCTCTCCAAAAACAAATCCCAACCCTAACCACACCCTCACTGAGTTAAACGCATATGAATCATGAGCTCATGAAAAGGCAAGACTCAGAAACAATATCTGAAGCACAGTGCTCAGTACCATCCTGTACTAGGTGTGAGAACCTGCACTTCTAATGATACCAGCATTCAAACACTCAGGGCAATCACAGCACACTCCAGTACAATATAAGGGGAGTAGAATGAAACATGCCTCAAGAGAAAAACAAATACAATCCCCCCAGAAACCATTTTAGTTTACCTACTTGGAAATTGTCACCAGTTTAATGCATAATGTTATGAAAAGGAATATCAGAATCCAAATCCCCAAGAAGCACTAATTATAAAGAGATTTGACATCAGTACCTAAAAGGCGACATGGCACAAACCAACTTAAATATCTGGGGCTGAGATAAATCTACTCTAAAGATACATTTCTCTTACTTCAGCAGTTTTACGCAAAGCTAAAAGACGTGCGATTTCAAATGTGCCATTTGTGTCACTTATAAGCCGCTTTAGATACAAGCATCTGACAAATGAATTAACCTCAAGACCAATCACACAAATGATCAAGTTAATGGCTGAAAACTTAAGACAACCAGCTCTAAGAAAGATGCCAGGATTTTCCCATTAGGGAGAACTTTAATATTAAAGCATTTTTTTTTTTAAATAAAGACCCTCTGTTTGCCAACAGCTCACACTTCCTCCAAGCAACCTGCAAATCAACTTAAAATTAAAAACCTCACAATATAAAAAAGGATTTCTGGAAATGCAGGGAATTCACTATATTATATATATCATGCAATGCACCAAGTTGCCTGAGTACCATGTAAATATTACAGCACAAAATGACAGGTATATTCAAAAAGACACTCACCTTAACTGCTTCAAGAATGCGGACAGCACTGGCCAGGTCGTCTAACCGTCTGCAAGCTCGGAGAGCCGCATCGAGAATCTTTGGCTCGGGAACAAGATCATAACCGATGAGAGTGTTCATGCCTGGGGAGAGGGAGGAGAATAAAATACAAACAGCTACACACCAGCACATTGCCCATATATATATATATATATATATATATATATTGTACGCTAGGACAAAAATTGATCGGTAGGTTTATATATATATAAACCTACCGATCAATTTTTGTCCTAACGGGCCATAGTTTGACATGTAATAAGACTGCTGAAAGCTAACTGGCTGATGGCTGGGACATCTGTAATATCATCATGTCAGTACTGAACAAGACAGAATAGTTCTTCCAAAATTTCAACTGGATCAGTCAAGCAGTTGCAGAGATTCATATTTCTACGTAGTATAGTGACTGCCATAGATAAAACGTGTCATTGCACATTTGCTCATAAAAATTTGCTGAGGATTGGGCAAAGAAATCAAAAGGCATTGTGATACTACAATTTGGGTGTGAATGGCTGCCATATGATTTAGAATTATAGCAAAACAAAAAAAAAAAAAAACTAACCGGGCAGAGACTAATGATCTATTTGACTTTTCTCCAGACTCTATGGATTTGCCAAAGACTTAAGACTCATGTTCACACCATGCTCAGGCTGATTAGCTGACTGGGTTCCCCTCACATGCCTGAGCAGTTGGGGGGAAGGCGGTTGTGATCTTTCAACCACATCTGGGGTTTTTATGCCTTACGGTCTTTGCTGCCCATTGTGTTTTATGGCAGGATCAGAACTTTTGCTTGAGGCTACGATACAACGTACAGTTTCAATTAACATCAGAGTTAAGTAATGATTTGGATTTACGCGTCTTACTGGTTAAAGCAGAAGTTGCTTTTTATAGATCTACAGGGTAATTTGACTAGAATGAAGACCATCCATACAAATATCTTACTATGATTAACATCCCAATACAGTAAAATGAGAAGTTAAACTGGGGTGGGGGGGGGGGGGGGGCAGAATTTGTAATGTGTGCAAAAGACGTCAATAAAAACCCAGATATATCCTCAGTTTACGTGGTTATATTTTGTGCCAATGACAGCCAGACTGTCCACTAACGTGGCCCTTACCTTTCCTGAGCTCCCAGGCATCGATGTCAGGTTTGTTGAAGTAGGTTACCCAGCGGGCATCAAACTCTTCGTCGGTCTCCTGCGCACCATGGGAGTAACAGCGGGCTTGCAGGGGAGCTGGCGGGATTCAAACAAAACGATGCACACAAACTAAACCAGGATGATTCTGGTATGACCCAGTCAATACAGCACGTGACTGCTGGAAGTCAAATATTTCTATCCACAGTCAACTTTCATATAAGAATATCAGTGAATGACCAAATCTGTTCATGTCTGCGAGTAGTACGCTTAAGCAACCAAGAGGAAACGTTAATATCATACTAGTTCCCACTAGCACAAGGCAACACGTTGGCATAAGCAAGTTTACCGTTTAAAGGAATTGACGCGCATAACCGGCACTAAATAAGCAATGAATACCTTATAGTTTGTTGCATTAACATGAACCTATCATATGTTAAGAACTTTTCGTCCAGATGCACAGATCGGGTAAATATCAGCAAATTCACCTGCCGCGTGACCTCAAACTATTTTCAAAAAAAATATTAATAACCTATTCGGGCCCAAAACTAAACAGTTCGGCAAAGTTTTATTAAAGAATCTTCCAAGAATGATAGAAATCAGAATGCTCAATGAATTCTGCATATAAGGAAATAGTAGGCCACAAAGCCTCACTCTAGCAGTGGGTCATTACAAGGACACTATCATTTCTTTCTAAAAATTCACAAAAGGCAGACCGTTTATCGTGTAAAAATTATACATAGGTGCAACATTATCCCGATTTAACCGTCCGTATTGAAGATATTCGTGTATTTTCTGCAGTTACTTGTTTGTGCACCTTATTAAACGGATAGTCACCTAGCTGCCGCATGACTCGTATTTTATTCAGTGAGAAATTGAAAAAACAATACTGTTTACCGCTAATCCCATTCAAAGCAGACCAGCTTCCGACCAAATAACATAAAATTTGTTCATTAATGTGGTGACATTGAGTGATACGAGCATGCTCCAGTCAGCCATATTCACCATAACTAGGACAGTTAGCGACGTTATGCACCGGTATACTATTTGAAGATGACTGGACGTTATATTCACTAAATATAACTGCACAAATCACACTCCATTCACAAAACCGAATAGGTTGTAAGGTGTAGCGCTGATTTGTAAAGCGACTTACACCGGCCCTACATTCCCCTAGCGGAGAGATAGCCGTCCTTCAATAGGCAACCCCGGCGGGCAGCCGGTAATATTGCCACAAAAACATCTACATATCAAATAAATCCTGTTTCAAACTTACCAGCGTAAGAAGGCTGTAATCGCACCAAACCCCGGATTCCAGAGACAGATCGTAGCACGGCTGATCTAAACATGATGCTCTATTTAAAAAAGAGACAGAGAAACTGAAACTCAAGCGTGCTAGTCAGAGAAGGGCACCGGAACAACGAAGACAGTGCGCATGCGTAGCGCCATTAACGTAGCCGTTCTGCGGAAGTTGGCCCCATAGATATCGCTTACAGCGCACGCATGCGCAGCGCCACTGACGCGCGCGTGGTGCGGAGGTTGGCACGCCTACGGTGCTCCCTGCGCAGGCGCCATTTCCGAAAGCACCGAAGGCCCTGCTCTTTTTTTGCACCTACATCCCCGTTTTTTTTTTTTTTTTTATTGAAAATTTGCTCAGAAATACAAATGCAACAAAACATGCATTAAGGCAAAGATCCAGGGGTTCAAGGATAGCCAAACAGTATACAGCAATAAATAAATCACATAACTAACATAAACTTTCCTCACAACATAAATAATCAAATACAAATTATAGAAAAACAGCAAAACGCGAGCATACATTTAAGGTTTTAATTGCCTTTTTGTTATAGGAGGTAGACAAAGATTTAATATAGATTTTAATATCTTCTTGAAAATAAGAAAAGTTCGGGGTAACTTTCATAACTTTACATTTGTGGATAAAAAATTTCGCAAGCAAAATAATTAAATTGCAGAGAAAGTAAATATCCCCATATTTCTTCTCAAAAGTGAAAATCCCAAACAGAACATCCTTAAAGAAAAGCTCAAAGTCATTGTGTATAAAATTTACAATGAACTGGCAAATGTCTTGCCAAAGTTTTCTTGCATAAACACAATGCCAGAAAAGATGCAAGACAGTCTCTGGTTGCGAGTCACAAAAAGTACAGTTCACATCTATGCTTAAATTGAATTTTGACATAATAAAGGTTTTAACAGGATAGTACTGATGAATAAGCTTAAAAGAGATCTCTTTAACCTTATTCACCAATAAATACCTGTTAGGAAGCGTCCAAACCTTTTCCCACGAAATATTTTCCACTGATCTGTTCCATTTTGAAATAGCTGAAGGAATGGACACCAAATCATTAAGAAAAAGACAGCGAATATTTCTGTTATTTTTCAAAGTAGATTTAAAACATATCCCACCTACGTATGTGTCAACTGGGTCTGGGAGAGGCATTTCAGAACTTATCAAAGCACTGTTATAGCCCTTAAATAACATAGTTACACCATTCGGAATAGCACCAAACACAGTGGTAAACTGTTTTGGAGTAACAGGAAAATTATAGTGAGAAAGAAATTCTTGATAAGTAAATAAGTAACCATTCTGATGAAATAACTGACTAACCCGATTGAGACCATTCTTAAACCAGTTCTCAAAAAATAGGGATTTATGTTTATAACATATATTCTTATTATTCCAAATGAAGTAACTGGTTGGAGAAAAATTGTGTTTGAAAATCATAGACCATGCTAAGAGTGCTTGTTTGTGGAAATTAGAAAGAGCAATAGGGATCTTCTCAATACTGTAGTTACATAACAATAGAAAATTCAAGCCTCCCAACTGTGAAAAGATATATTCTGGTATAATATTCCATATACTGGATGGTTTTTTCAAGTAATTCCTCAACCAGTTAATCTTAAAGGTATTGTTTAACGTTGCAAAATCAACAAAATTAAGACCGCCATTAATGTAGCTGTTGGATAAAACAGATTTCTTAACGTAATGAGTCTTATTTTTCCATACAAAGTTATATAATTGTTGATCAATCTTTTTACATATTGCTTTATCGGGTTCTAAAGAGATGGCTGCGTATGTTAGACGTGAAATGCCTTCTGCCTTTGAAAGGAGAATCCTTCCTTTTAGAGATAAATCTCTCTGAAGCCCTACATCCCCGTTGTAAAGGCGCTCAGCGGCAGGAATGACGTCAGCCCTTGCGGTCGTCTATGGGAAAAGAGCGAAACTTTTTACACCAGTGAAGAATAAGATCATGGCTTCTGAAGACTTTACTACATTAATTTAATTTTCACCATTACATGTCTATACTTTGAAATCGCTTTTAGGTGAAGACTTGATGCAATTTTAGTTGTTTTAAACCAGCGTATGTTACATGTGTTAATCAAATATTTGCTCCTTTAATTTAATATCGTCAGTGAATTATAAATAATTAATAACTGCAATATTTCTTTATATGGGACCTTTAATCCCCCTACTCAGTGTTAAACCATATAATTGTTCTTTTGCTGTGTAACAAGCATTACATCCTTGAATCCTTATTGCACCCCGCTTTTAAATTACTCAATAATATTTTCATCTGAACTTCCATTCAAATCCACCAGATGGTAGTACCGACCAATCTTAATGGCGTTATTCTCGGCACGTTGAGACTGTATTGAGTGACATATAATTCATGATTAATGAAATGAATCTCTCAGGGCACTGTTGCAATATGGCCTTAGTAGAGATGTATTTTTGGAACGTGTTTTTAAAATTTTTTTGGAATCTTTTAAAATCAATGAAAAAAGGAGTGACAACCAATATAACGTGTTTTTGACTGTCAGTTTTTGTTTTATATTAACTACCCAAATAAACTTTGTCTATTTCACAGTCAGATATTCTCAGAATCTTCCCCTTATATATATATATAAATGTATGAGTTAGTAAAAAACATGCCAACATAACCTGCTTACTAGTAAGAATTGAACTACTAACCAGTTATTTTATCTAATAGTTCTCTGAATGCCAGTATTCCTCAATACACAAAGTACTTTAATATTTCTCTGTATTTCATTCCTATTTTCCCAGATAGGAGGTGGAGTTGTCTTTCTTTAAAAATGTTTTCTTCTGTTTTGTTTAAGAGTTTTCTCATTTATTTGCATTGGTTTATCTCAGCAGTCTAAGCCAGTTTCATTTGATTTCATTCAATTTAATTACATAATCAATTGTTATCGCTCTCTTTCTGAGAGTATGGACCATGTGGCTCAAACAAATACAAAGTGTGAAAAATTACAGGTCGCCTGGGTAACACCTACAGAAAATATTGGCGAAAAAAATACTTAATTTAGCAGGCTTGCAGATAAGGACCAAGGAAAAATAAGAAATGACAATTTTCTAGATAAGAAAATAGGGAACCATCTGGTGGACATGAGATAGCAAACTCCCCAACCATCTAAGAAACTCTGCTTTCATCAGCAGGATGGGGAAGAATAGCAGAGAATAAGTGTGATGTTCAAAATGGAATTCCTTTTACCTAGTCCATTCAACCTCTGCACCTCATATTAAAATGAAAAGAGAAAGCGAGAGAAAAACAGATTAATTTGAACAATTGCCATCCCATGGGGTGCATTTTTTGTCTCCTTTCATTGTAAGGAAAGTTGTAGGAATGGCATGGTAGCGCTAAACCTACTGTAAGTGCAATGCTGAAATATGCCGATAATACGGAATACGGAGTCACGGCGGTAAAAACACAGGCAGAGCAAGCAAGTCTTTAAATTTTACTGGTGGTGAAAACGATGCACATCGATGCACATCTAAATCTAAATAAACTGTATCTGTTTTCTTCAGCTAGTGGTTGAGGTCACATCTTAGCACTTTTATATTGACAAGTGATGCAAAGTGATTTCCAAATTATTATTAGTTCATGTAGCAGGAAGGACTTTGCTAGATCTACCATTTTGTAAAAGTAGTTCATATAAATTTGTTTAAAGGAAATATTCACCATTATTTTTAAAACTGTGAGCTATATATGGATTTCTGAGCAGCTCTAATAACATATTGATCATCCTATCAGGTCATTTAACATTTACTGGTAATCTATGTGCAATGGAAGAAACAAATCATGCTAAAGTTTTATTTGCTTATTGTTAAACATATGCAGTGCATTTGTCATAGGAAGACAAGCATCCTCACTTCACATGACCTTGGTAACAAAAACTCCAAAAAGTCAAACTGGTATTAACAAAGCAATATATGCAATACAACTACAGACCAAAAAAAAAAAGGCAGACTATCATCACCTATCATTTAAGCAATGCCCCATTCACTAAAGTGACAGCTCATACTCCTGATGAGAACAGGACGGTAACATTTGTCAGCTGAACAATTTCGCTGGCCGGCAGTCTTGAGGGATCTCAGACAGGACATGCAATCAAGCTTGGCGACATGACGCATCTTGCACCTGACAGTGAAGTATGCTAGGTGGATCGCAAGGCAAAAAAACGGGGAATATGAGTTATGTTGCTGGCATAACTGTGCTCCAGGAAACTTCAAGTTCTCTCCCCGTCATCATCACTTTCCGGATTTGCCTGCGGTATATTTCCACAATGGCATCAGGGAGTTCTAGACGCCGTTAGCCCGTTGAGCAAAAACTTAATTCATTTTTGACGGTCCTACATAACAGCATGATGCGTGAAATCGTGAAAGTTGTCCTGTCTTTGTGAATAAGAGCATTTTAACGTGACGTCTTTAGGTACATACCTCATCCACATGTCCTACTGTATCACTCTTATTCAGCCACAACCACTACTTGCAGCGGTCAAATGAGATTTGTTCAGGATGCCATACTTCTTCCACGGTTTGTTCACTGTCCTCTCTCAGATAAACCATTCTGCTGTGCTGAACGTTAGTGGTACGGCTGTATTTTACACCAGTTCAAAAACACTGAGAGTGAGACTTGGGATCAGTACCATCAAGCGAGTATGTTAACAATAGGGCAGCTCAGAGACTCAGAGAAGCGGGGCTTTGTTGTTCAAGCCATCTCCCTCTGTTCTGGTTCGTTTGATGGTGTTTGAGACCTCAGGGAAAAAAGTTAATTACTGGGTCTGCAATGGACTGAAAAACTGCCGATAGGCCTGCAGACGCTTTTTAAATGGCGCACGGAAAAAAAAAAAATTATGATTATCACTTGTTAATTATACTGGCACAGACAGGCTCAAAATACCACAGTAATTTGGAGGCACTGAAGACAAATCTCGTCACATCCCTACCACATCCATCAATGAACAGAGCCTGCTGGTCACGCCAGAGAAACTGATAGTGGAACAAATGCTTGAGGCACAGAAAGAAATTAATTAAAACTTAAAAAAAAGTTATTCCAAAGAGACACTATTAGGATATAAAATTATACCAAAAAATACATCATGCAGAAATAATTTATTGAAAAAGGCAGGTAATGCATTGACTTCATGCCTATTTACAGATTTACAAAGCATGTAGAAAAATCCACTTCACACACTCTGGGGTTGGTCGATTCACGCTCTCCTAGGATTGTAATGCACGCTTTAAGATAGATGCTTGAGGTGTACTTTATGAAATCTGTCCCCGTAGTCACAGACTGTGCCTCTGGCCTGCGTCCTGATCGATAGCACTGTCCGATGCCTTCCTGCTTTCAGCCCGAGAGCGGTCTGAGAGGCACGTTGAAACGTTGGCAGCAAGCGGGGTGATTCGCACGACTGGCCACTCAGTAATGCAGGGCGTTGAATCGGCACTGTTCTGCTCTCGCAGAGCTCTGTAAAGCGTGCATTTTTAACTGACTTGACAGTTTTATTGCATTCTGTTGCAAATATCGTCTCTCTGCGTTCAAATGCTCATATTTATACTGAGTTCTCTTTCAGAATCCCTGGCAAATCTGAACACTTTCTCTTACATCAGCATCTTTCTGAAGAACAAATCTTTTCACGTTAGCTTTAGCACAGTCATCCTTGTTTCAGTGATAGTTCGTTAAACGGCATGCAAGTCACCAAAACAAAAAACAAAATGAAAACCTCCACATAGGTCCTTAATATAGAAATTATTCTAAGCCGTCATGTCTTTGGAGGATGGACAGATGAGATCAAAAGCGTTTTTGTCATGCTATTTATGAACACACTAAAACTTAAAATTATTATGCTTAATTTTTGTCATTCAGTCTTCTGAGAACACCTTGTACCTAATTCCGTTTCTAAAATGTGTCCAAATAACCTGATCAACATATGTGATTAGGAGATGGATGGGTGCAAATAAATATTAAAATAAATAATTTAGATGAATGACATAGCGTCCTATCGTGATGCAGGAGCATTTCAAATGTGTTTTGCATTTTAAAATGCAGACTCTCCGGACAGCAGGCAGCTTAAAATGCAATGAGAGCAGTAGCAGTAGTAACCACGGGTGGCACCTGTGCGGCATAAATCCTAATAGATAACGTGGGGGAGCTGCTAGGTGTATAAATGCGATGAGAATTTCAGAGTCTGGCAATCAGTTCTCATTCAGATGGACTCTGGCTGTTCAATTGTAATCAATTTGCGCGTGTTTGCATGTCTCCCTGTTACATATTTATCGAGCACCGTGCCATGCAGAGTGGATACGACAGAGCCGTCAGTGCCAATTCTCTCCCAGGTGTGCAGCTGGCCCGAACGGGGTATCAGTTAATTGAAGTCCTGCCTATAGATGTGGTTTCTTGGAGCTGGGTTGGTGTGGGAGAGCATCAGGTAGCCTCTTGCTCGCCGGTTGTGTGATGTCTCTGTTCTCATCCTCCCTCTTGGATGGCGGCGCCCAGCCAACTCCGGGTGCAAGGGGCGGCTGGTATCCAGGCTCCTGAGGGTCCAGCGGGTCTTTGGAGAGGAGAATGCTGATGGCGGGCACCGTCCTGTGCACCGTCACCCCCGCCTTGGCTGCCCCGTCTTGGCTGCCCTCCCACACCTCATGGACCATCTTCTGCTGCACTTTGGTTAGCTGGTGCAGTCCCTCTACCCGGCGTTTCAGGATCTCTGCGCAGGTGATGGTCTTGGTGACGGCACGTCCTGAGCCCACAAACACCAGCTGCCTGACGCCACCCCCGGTCCCCTGCTCCCCCTGCACTCGCGCCAAAGCAAAACCCATGAGGTTGTGAATCTTGCTTCCTTCTTTGACCCTCATTTCCAGCACCCCTGCCGGCAGGTCCGGGAAGGGGCTGGGGGTAGCTTCCTCGGTTCGGCACACCCTCCGGATGCCTCCCTGCCCTTGCTTCAGGGGGCTGGGTGCAAGTTCCCCAGAAGGCAAGGCAGGAGGGGGTACATCTAGGCTAGTAACTTTGCCTGCAACAGAAGGCTGGCTAGTAAAAGTCTGCACCGGCATGGGGTGGAACAAATCGGGGACCACGCTGACCTCCATGGAAGCTCCTCTTGTCTCATTTGGGTTCTCTTCAGTAAGCTCTCTCTCTGTGCTACCCTCCAGAAGCCTGCAGCCTACAACCTGAGACAACTTTAACGCTCAATGCAGTTCACAGTCCCTTGCGTCACGGCTGTTCCATGAACCGTGATCCAGCGAGGAACTCTTTCCCACGATGACACTCGCATGGTACCCATACAGCAGCACATCCACAGAAACAAGTCATTACTGAAGCTTTCTCAATGTGGCCATTGATCAAAGAGTCCAGCCACGCTGATGGTTCACCAGGAAATTGCTGAGTCGAAGGGAAGAACAAGAGCAGGTGGAGGCTTAAGCTTTAAGACGTCGGGCAGACCCTACGTTTGCGGACAGTTGGCACTGTCACTGACGGTATTTCAGTATTGTGCTAACGTGACAAAGAAAGAGCATAGCGGGAGGAAGAATTCACTCAGTGAAAAGTTTTCTTCCTTTTCCCTCCTTTTGAAGAGGCAAACACTTCGTTTACAGACCTTCCCGGTTCGGTGTCTTCTTCCAGTCCTCATCAAGTTTTTAGTTTCCTCACTCATGAGCAGAACAGGAAGAACCACAAAAAAAACTCTTCAGCTCCCCTCGTCTGGCTCAGGATGGTCCAGTTTCTCCAGTGTAAAATCCTGCGAGTAGGAAGCTCACGGGGAGGTCTCCCAGTAAGTTTCACATGACGCTGGGGGGCTAAAGGTTTCCCCAACACCTGCTTCGGCGATGGGCAGCAAAGTCTGCTGATTCTCAACACACAACTACCAAACGTGTGAGGGACAGCTGCTGCTTCACAAACGGTTGTTGGAGGGCCTATGTGATTGAGGGAGAGAGAGAGGCAGAGGGAGAGTGGTGGGGAGGGGGGGGCAACCCTCTTAAAGGGACAGCGTTTCATATGAGATGCTGCATTGAGCCTTGCTCTCTAGAAATGTAACAGTAGGAAACCAGATCTGATGTGATTATAGATTAAGTTATCAGGAGATCACCATGTGGTATTGTGAGACGCTCTAAATAACAATTACACTTTTCATTTTTACTTTAAGCAGACTTGTTGGATCTTTTTACGTTGACATCAATTGGCTGATTAACCACAAGCAAGAAGCATAATGGTCCTTTCCAGTTTTGTGTGCAACATTTACATTTAATGCATGTAACATTTTAAAAAAGAAATAATAATCTGAGCAACAAATAGTTTGCTACCCGTGTTTATTCAAATATAAACACAGAATTGTGAAACACTTTTAGATTCGTTTATTAAAGTTGCATACGAAGTCTACATGAAGTGAAATACTTAGTGTCTATATTTTTATATAGTGTTTTTAATGTATGTTATAAAAGTTCCACTAAATTGTTATATACCTGATTAAAAAAAAATCAGTTGAACTTATGGTGCAGACTGGCACTTTATGATCACTTTATAATTTTGGGATTATTGGTGATTTTACACCTGGCTGTGTAAAGCTGCAGAAATAAGAAATGAACGGGCCTTTACCTCACTGTCAGCTTTATACTTTTGCCTACATCTTGCTGTGGGTTACACTTTGTATAATGCCTGTTTTATTTGCCCCTCAGAAATCCGACAAAGTCGCATCAGCATTTCTATACCTCCTGAAGTCGCCACACAGGTTTCCATGGGTACGGGGCGGGTTGAAGACTCCCCGTGAATGAACGGCTGTGAGTTCGTAAATGTACAGCCCTGGTACCTACTGCGCCCCCCCCCCCCAGCTCACAGAGGACGGGGGCATCTCTTTTCATCAGTGACTGGCAGCTAGTTGAATCATTGAAGAGAGCTTAACTGACAGTAGGAGCCTAAGGAAACTCAAATATCCTCTGTAAACCTGCTGTCAGTCCACTGTCTGTGTCTTTATGGAGAATCGGCGTGTTGGAGATGTATTGGTGTAAAGCCAGTGTAGGGGTGCCCACCACAATGGCATCTTAGTGTAATGCTTACACCTGTACCTGGGCGTTCACTAGAAGCTCAGCCTAGCTGCACTTCTGCCTGGTCGACTCCTTGACAGCAACAACTTTGTAATGTTTTACTTGACTTATACATTACTTTAGACAAAAGCATCTGAATAACAAAATATAGAAAATATAATGTAAATGAAAATGTGTCGTTGGAATTTGGGTCTATTTCATAATCTCCTGAGACCCCACCCATTCATTTATGTCCATTATAGTGGACATTTTATTTTTGCATCTATCTTTTCACTAATGTTAGGAAACGTATTTATTCCTGTGGTGCTCTAAAGAGGACATGCTGTGAAATTAAAAATAAAAATAAATTAGAAAAAAATCTAAATTGTAAGATGTCTTATTTCCTCCAAAGACAAATAACCCAAAATTGAAGGACACTTTTTTCCATGGGTCTCAGGAGGATATAAAACTGCAGCCATTCGAGTTCAATCCTTGTATCTTGGGAATCTCTATAACACTAGATGAAAATATTCACTGGTTCACCAGGGTAACTTACCAGGTAAGAGGATTAGTGTAGGAGAATCCTCATCTTTTTTAAAGGTGCTCAGTGCTGCTGGGGTTTTACCATTAATTTGCTCACTGAGCTGAAGGTTGGGATCAGCGGGTATAGTGGCTGATACGAGCACTTCTCCTTTGCTCCATCTCTCTCCCCCTCCTCTCCCACATCCCACCTCCTTTATCCTGCTTTTTCTCCCCTCCTGCCTACTCCTTTTCCACTCTTTCGCTTGGGTTTGCAGTGATGTGAGGGACGGGGAAGCCTCTGTGACTGCCCCCGTCTGCCAGAGCCCGTCCTCCTCACCGCAGGAGACACGGCCGTTAATGTAGCATGCCTCGCCCCATGAGGAGAGGAGAAAGCCAGTGAGCGAGTTGGGGGGGGGGGGGGGGAGAGGGGGCACAAAGTGATTATTCTGCTGTTTGGGTGCAATTAACCCAATCTGTCAGAACATGCTGGAGCGCTGCCTAAGGGCAGAATAGAGAAAACGAGGATGCGAGAGCATCACAGAAAGATACGGCCATCACTGAGCATCCCTGCCCGGCGATCGAGCTTCTGGCAGACTCCAGATTTAGCCTCCGATAATGATTTCTGGGCCTTTTATTTAATCTTTGAATCATCTAAAATTTTGTCAGGTATTTCTGCTGCTTCGCATAAGGTTTGGTCTTTGTGTATCACGTCTAGGTCGCTTCCTGGCTTTGTGCCCTAGCTTGCCTGCGATAGACTCTAGATGACCCAGACTAGGATAAGTGGTAAGCAGGTGGATGGAAATTTTGTTTTTCAAAAAACAAAGAAACAGCTTCACACTGACAAAAAAAAAACATTAGTAAATTTCACAATATAAAATAAAGGTTCAAAATATCAACCTACATTTCTGACATGCTTAGATACGGGAGGTGACACATTTCAGTAATCATCCTGGCACCAGCATATAAAGTGCCAGTCAAAAGTTTGGACACGCCAAGACTACAGCGATAGTGTCACATCACAAGACTTGGCCACCTGACCTAAACTGAATAGAAATGGTTTTGGAGGAGTTTGACCAGAGAGTGAAGGAAAAGCCGCCAATGAGAGCTCAAGATATGTGGGACCTCCTTCAGGAGAGCTGAAAGAGCATCCCAGGAGGCCACCTCATGGAACTGGAGTAGAGGGGAATGTAAGGTCAGCTAGTCAATGGAGTGATTGGGATTAAGGGCCCAATAGAGGCGTCACTCTGCTGACCACTGGATTTGAACCGGCAACCTTCTGAGTCCCAAACCACAAATCTGCCCCCCCACCCAACAAAGTAAATTTTTTTGTTTAGTACTTTTCTGATCAGTGCATAATTCCGTATGTTATTTTATTGCTTTCATGATTCACGTGATATTCGTAATTATTCTAAATTGTAGAAAGTATGAATAACATTTCTGTGGGTAGCTCTGTCCAAACCTTTAACTGGTACAGTATGTAACCATTAGATTCTTATCACTATAGAAAACAGCTCTACTCTGCTGCCTTTCCAAGCAACCGACCTGTCTAAAGTAGGACAGGGGTAACACACAGAGCTGGCAGAGTGGTGTGTAATCGTCCACCAAGCTTTCCTTGGGGCCACCCTGCTGCCCGTGGCTCTGTGGTTCTGCTCCACAAACCTGCAACCTGCTCTTGCAGGAAACAGCAGAAGCTACAAGATGTGAAATCTGTCCGTGCAGGCTGTTTCTGAGCCACGGCAGAACGGGATGTAACGGGGTGCAGAAGTGTAAGTGAACTGGAGTGTGCGACAGAAAAAAGATTAAAGGAAAGGCCAGAGTTCGGCCGCGATGCTTCTCTCTCCATCGTTCCGATGGCTGTGTACAGCACAGTCTATAATTTTGCAGGAGCCAGCGGGCACCAGTACCAGTTCTTTTTTGGCTTTAGTTTTTCTTGTCACACTTTCTTCCAGGGTGACAAAATGGCACCATTAGCCAACAGAGAAAGGAGGGGTGTTGGTCTGGGGAAAGAGGATGCGGTTCTCTCTCCCCCCGCCCCAACCCCCCTCGTGACGCCCCCTCTTACAGAGGCTTGTGGCCTCTTCACGCTGCAATGCAGATGTATCGTGGGATTACAGAACACTTCGATCCAGTCTGCAGGGAAAGGACGGACAGAAAGGGACCAGGCCAAAATAAATGTAGACAGACAGAGAGCGGAAGGGAGAAAGTGTCTAATAATGACAGAAAAATGCTATAATTACGGAGGTAGTGGTTCAGTTTGTTTAACGCTGCCACAGCAGAAACAGCAGCCAAAATAACCATTAGCATGTATTCTAGCGTAAAGCGCTACATCTGTAATGAGGGGAGGCGATGTTGTATATGTTTGTTGTGTATTATTGTGTGCACTGTTTATTTATAACAGACAGGAAAAGTCAACAATGTCAGGCAAAGAAATCATTCTGAATTTGAGTTTGGGAAGAGTGCATAAAGAGATAGACTGAACCTGTAGGGAACACAGAAAACTCACACAAGCTTATCGTGGCCATTCAGATGCCCCAGATGCTGACAGACAAAGACACTGTCAGTCCTTCCCCTGCATTGATAAGTCACTTTATTGTCATTGCACACACATGAAACGAAATTGAGATTCTTCCAAGCGTCACAATAAGGGTGGGCGAGATTAAGAAAAAGTAAATTAAAATAATAAAAACAATGTAAAGCCAGTGTATTGTTGTGTACTGTTTTTTTTTCTTGACTGAAGATGGCTTCCATATTTATGTTTTCCAAAATCACTGTTTAAACATACAGAACCTGGGGACTAAACCAGGACACACCTTGGGTGGCACGTCAGCCCGTCACACGGAATGTGCTGTGTACAGCACTGCTACCTGAACCATGTCTTTGGGCTGTGGGAGGAAGCTCAGGCAGGTATGTAAACACACACACACACACACACACACACACACCCAAGTTGGTCTACCTATCTAAATGGGGACCGTCCATTCATTTCTATGGGAAAAACCCTAATCTCATTCATGACACCCTTAACCTCTACCCATCCCTAACCATAACCATAAGTAACCAACCCAAATACAAGACTTTTGGGATTTTTACTTTTTTGTTTGCATTCACAGATGTTTATGAAACTGAGGTTATCCAAATGGGGACCTCAAAAGATGTCCCCAAAAGTAGGGAAATTTTAGGTTTTACTACACTTTGGGGACAATTTGGTCCCAAAATGTGATCTATGCAGCAAACCCACACACACACACACACACACACACACGCACATGTAGGGTATACATATCCTTATGGGGACCACTCATTCATTTCAATGGGAAAAATGCTAATGCTAACTATGACAACCTTAACCCCTAC